TTTTAGTGGAGACGGGGTTTCACCATGTTGACCAGGATGGTCTCGATCTCTTGACCTCGTGATCCACCCGCCTCAGCCTCCCAAAGTGCTGGGATTACAGGCTTGAGCCACCGCGCCTGGCAAATTTTTCTTTCAATGCATGTCTAGAAGCGTGGCTTTCTGAATCAGTGTTTGAAAAGATCCTCTCACTGATATCATCCACATGATAACTTTCAGGTCAGAGTACCAGAAGTGACATCAGCACATTTCACCAGTTCACTATTGCTGTTAGTAGTGGCTCAAAAAGTCTATATTTATGATTATGAAAATGACTCCTGGAATGTGACTTTCGGTATGTACCTTTTGTATTTTTAAATTTTCTTTGAGTGTAGTCAACATGAGAGTATTGATGTTGGATGTCAGCCCTGGGACGTTGTCCTTTCCATTCAAAATAAAGACTGGCCTGAGCCCCATCCCATAGACAGGGAACCTAGTGTTCCCAGTGTGGACTGTAGTCACAAGCCACAAAAGCTGCTTGGACTGACTGAAACAAACAAGAGACATTCACCAGATATGGTAGTTCACACCTGTAACCCCAGCACTTTGGGAGGCCGAGGCAGGAGGATCACCTGAGGTCAGGAGTTCGAGATCGGCCTGGCTAACATGATGAAATCCCGTCTCTACTCAAAATACAGAATTAGCCAGGTGTGGTGGTGCATACCTGTAATCCCAACTACTCAGGAGGCTGAGGCAGGACAATCGCTTGAACCCAGGAGGAGGAGGCTGCAGTGAGCAGAGATCGTGCCATTGCATGCCAGCCTGGGCAACAAGAGCAAAACTCTATTTCGAAAAACAAAAACCAAAAAATCACAAAGAAACAAACAAGAGACACTGGCTAGGCGTGGTGGCTCACGCCTGTAACCCCAGCACTTTGGGAGGCTGAGGCAGGTGGATCATCTGTGGTCAGGAGTTCGAGACCAGCCTGGCCAACATAATGAAACCCTGTCTGTACTAAAAATCCAAAACTTAGCTGTGTGTGATGATGTGTGCCTGTAATCCCAGCTACTCGGGAGGCTGAGGAAGGAGACTCACTTGACCATAGGTTGCAGTGAGCCAAAATTGCACCACTGCACTCCAGCCTGGATGACGGAGGGAGACTCTGTCTCAAAAAAAAACAAAAATTAAACTTTCCTCTAAACTTCAGGGAATTCATAAACATTTCAAAATAATATTTCCTTTCAGGTATAAAACACCCTGTTACACATGTCTCCGGTGATAACTGCTGTTATACTGAAACTCTGTTCTGTATGGTGAGTATAGCTGGATAATTGTTCTTTTTTTATTTTTGTTTTATTTAAAGAGAGTCTCACTCTGTCACTCGGGCTGGAGTGCAGTGGCACAATCTCGGCCCACCGCAACCTCCACCTCTCAGGTTCAAGCAGTTCTCCTGCCTCAACCTCCCGAGTAGCTGGGACTACAGGCGCACTCCACCACGCCCAGCTAATTTTCGTATTTTTAGTAGAGACAGGGTTTCAACTTGTTGGCCAAGATGGTCTTGATCTCCTGACTTTGTGATCTGCCCACCTTGGCCTCCCAAAGTGCTGGGATTACAGGCGTGTGCCACCATGCCCAGCCAGTTGTTCATTTCTTTTACCCTTCTCTGAACACAAACAATTACGAGGAGAAATAAAGGCTGGGTGCGGTGGCTCACACCTGTAATCCCAGCGCTTTGGGAGGCTGAGGCAAGAGGACTGCTGAAGCCCGAGAGTTTGAGACCAGCCTGGGCAACATAGTGAAACCCCATCTCTACAAAAAATAAAATAACCAGCCTGGCGTGGTGACGTGTGCCTGTAGTCGCAGCTACGGCAGGAGGATTGCTGGAGTCTAGGAGACTGAGATTGTGGTGAGCCATGATTATGCCACTGCACTCTAACCTGGGCAACCAGTGACACTGTCAAAAAAGAAAAAACAAAGAGAAAAAAAAAAAAAGAGGCTGGGCACGGCGGCTCATGCACTTTGGGAGGCCAAGGTGGATGGACCACTAGAGGCCAGGAGTTCGGGACCTGCTTGGCCAACATGACAAAACGCTCTCTCTATTAAAAATACAAAAAATTAGTTGAGGACGGGTGCGGTGGCTCATGCCTGTAAGGCCAGCACTTTGGGAGGCCAAGGCTAGCAGATCACCTGAGGTCAGGAGTTTGAGACCGTCCTGGCCAACACAGTGAAACCCCATCTCTACTAAAGATATAAAAAATGAGCCAGGCATGGTGGGCGGACACCTGTAATCCCAGCTACTCAGGAGGCCGAGGCAGGAGAAGCTCTTTTTTTTTTTTTTTT